CCCCCCCCCGCGGGCTGCCTCTTTTCCTCAAAAAGACAGGCAATATAACTAAAGGGCGCAGCAATCAAAATACATCAACTTACAAAAAAAAATTGCTGCAACAGTTCAGACATTCACAGAACGAGGACAATAATGTATTGGCGTTTCCATGTCGTTTTAATCCAGAATTCCTTTTTTCAACAGGTCAGGACCAATGTTCCCTCTAAGCTGTGCAGTCCTGTGAGCAAAAATTCTACTTTGTGAGCATTAAAGTTGTGAGCAGGCAGGTGATTAGGCTACTGCATAAATTAGTTTGCTCTGGACTGGAGCCATCCTTCCTGAGCTAAGACAACAACGTGTGAGCCGGAGGCTTAAAAACTGTGAGCTAGCTCACACCAACTCAGCTTAGAGGGAACACTGGTCAGGACCAATGTTCCCTCTAAGCTGTGGAGTCTTGTGAGCAAAAATTTTACTTTGTGAGCTACCGGCATTAAAGTGGTGAGCGAGCGATTTGGCTGCTGCATAAATTAGTTTGCTCTGGGGCCCTCCTTCCTGAGCTAAGAGAAAACTCTGTGAGCTGGAGGCTAAAAAACTGTGAGCTAGCTCACACTAACTCAGCTTAGAGGGAACACTGGTCAGGACATCAAGTCAAGTTGAAAAAAGGAATTCTGGATTAAAACAACATGGAAATGCCAATACATTATTGTCCTCATTCTGTGAATGTTTGAACTGTTGCAGCAATTTTTTGTAAATTGATGCCTCTTTTCCTCGACAGGCCTTGCAGCTCCGGCCTCCCGCGGGGGGCGGTTTTGCTCCCGCTGCAGCCGCTGCCGCCCCCGCTCGTGGGGAGGTGCACGGCCGGCCATGAAGTGCCGCCGGCGACACTGTCCGAGTGGCTCCCGTTGCTGATGCGGCTCTTTGGCGCTCGAGAGCGAGGGGTTGCCCTAACACTGCTGCGGAAGGTGCCCCGGAGCACCTTTCGGCCGCTTCTCCCCGAGCACGGGACCCCTCGACAACCAGCGCTGTGCGCAGCCCCCCTGTGCCAACATTGCACAAATGCTTTAGTAGCGTTGGCCATAGTACCCGGGGCTAGCAAGAGTAGTAGTGCCGCCCCAGCCCCATACTGTGAGTACTATTGTCGATGCTCTTAACTGCATCATTAGTGATTTTTAGTAGTGAGCACCTCTTTTTTTATCTCTTCCAAGAAGAGTGTATTTTGCTTTTTTGCTTTGCTTCTGCTTATCCCCTTTCCTCTGCTTTTTTTGTTCCTCTGCACATGTTCCTTTTAAAAATGCACACCTAGTACTGAAAAAGTGTTAGTTCCTGTAACATGTTTTGTTTTCTCCCTTTCCTCTGCTTTTTTTTGTTTCTCTGCACATGTTCCTTTTAAAAATGCACACCTAGTACTGAAAAAGTGTTAGTTCCTTTAACATGTTTTGTTTTCTCCTTAAATAAATAAGTTTAGGATGTATACTTCTTAAATGCATACACCAACCTAGAAGTGTCTGATGAACACACATGAAGCTGCCGTATACTGAATCAGACCCCCCCCTGGTCCCTCAGAGGTAGTGGCTCTCCAGGGTCTCAGTTCTTTCACATCACCTCTTACCTGATTCTTTTAACTGGAGATGCTGAGGAATTGAACCTGGGACCTTCTGCATGCCAAGCAGATGCTCTGCCAGAGAGCAGCAGCCCCTCCTTACAAACAAGACCTGAAGTTCTAAGATGTTGATTATTGTGGCAAGTTCCAAATTATGCAGCCTTTCAGGGCTTCTGTGGAGTCCCAGAATGCACAGCGGTCTGTAGTCTTCCATTTCCTGGCTTCTCTCCTGTTTAAAGTTGCTTTCTCTTGTCCTCCTCATGGCTGTATGTGTCAAAGGCAGTTTATGCTGTAGGGAGAGAGAGCCTGCTGCAGTTATGGATACAGTTTCATAGAATACAAGCACAGTATTTTGAGGGTGTGTTGGAGACAAAGCTTTGGTGAAACAGATATGCCAGGCTTTTACCCTTGTTCTTGAGTAGATGGCTTGCAGATGGCATTAAGGCTGCAAGGTGCAATCCTTCCAAATCCCCTTTATCGCTTCTAGCGATGCTTTCAACCCAGAATTCATGTTTCCTTGATGGTCAAGAGCATGTATGTTTCCTGACTTTCACTGATAATGTGGACACATTTGCAGTGTTTGCAAGATCTGCTCATGTGTGCAGCTTAGTGCAAATGGGGAGGCAGGATTTACACAGCCTTGTTAGTTTTTTTTTAATGGGGAAGAAGGATATATTCAGAGAAGTGAAAGAGAGCTGGTCTTGAAAGACAAAACCTGTGAAAGAATTAATAGTGGTATGGAGTGAAAAGCACACATATACCCTCTTCTCCCTCCCCCCCTTTTGGGAGGTGTCCTACACCTGTGAGACTTCAGGAGTTGGGGTGTGTGTGTCTGTGCAACAAAGAGGTTCAGGTTCATGCATTAAAAATATGAAAATTCAAATTCATGTGTGGTGGCTGTGTTCTTCTAATCATTCAGGTGTTGGAGCCATAGAAGTTCTTGAGATGCCGAGTATAAAGGATAACTCCCAATATCAGTTGATCAAAGGAGTATGCTAGGAGTTTGATTCCAGTGGCTGCTGTTTGCATGAGATCCAAAGCATCTTCATTCAGTTTAAAGCCTCATGCAACTTCTGAGTGCCCATCCACTGTCTCTGGATGATTTGCAGCCTTGCAGTTGGGGCTGGATAATTTTGCCATGTCTCCGCTTCCTGTTGGTGGGGCACACTTAGTATGATACCTTGTTCAGAAACATGGTGAGGGGGTGGTCTTACTGCATGTAGATTTTGCTCTAACATGCTGTAATGCCAGAACAAAGTTTGAGTCCAGTGGCACCTTTTAAGACCAACAGAGTTTTATTCAAGGTATAAGCTTTCGTGTGCATGCATACTTCTTCATATACAGTGAAATGAAAGTTACCAGTCCATACATATAGATAGAGGGTGAGCGGTAAATTAGCATACAACATAATAAAGATGTTTAACAGATTCAAGGACCAAACAGGAATAATAAAATTAGTTTATATGGTTGCCATTTATTGGGGCTTAATCCCGGGGGGGCAGACATAGTGAAGGAAATAAATATGTCAAAGTTGTTGTAGATTTCCTGGGCTGCATGGCCGTGGTCTTGGCATTGCCTATCCAAAGTCCACAAGCCATACAGCCCGGAAAATCTACAACTAATGAATTCCAGCCATGAAAGCCTTCGACAAAATATGTCAATCTTGAAGATTGATGGGCAGATGTATCCTTAATTGTGGAATACTGAGAGTAATTAACTGAAATCCAGCTATTGTGCTCCAACTGTCTTCTCTCAAGCATGCAGATGACCTTATGACATTTTCTTCTTTGAGGTGGGATGATTGGCTGTGTAGAGTTATCTCCCCTGTACCCAGACCCCAGAGAAATGCATTCCAATTTATCTTTCCAAATTACATTATATTCTACTGTTCATTACATTATGATACAGTCTTCTGTTCTAATCTGCCATTCCAAATAAGAGATAAAGAGGATGTATGTCCATTCTGGGGGATTAGTGAGAATACAGATGTAAGGACTGCGTGAGGTTAACATATGTGGAGAGATAAGAAACCAGTATCCCTGTTAAGTCCATTGTTTTGAGTGTTGTAATTACTTGCAACTCAGCAATTTTGCCTTGTAGTCTGTTCCTGAACACAGCTACCCACTTGAATATATGCTATAACACTGTTTGGGTGCAGTGTGCTTCCACTTGCGAGGGGCAGGGGAGATGGGTCTTGGCTGTCAGAAGCTTGACAGTGTAGAATTTAACAGTTGTACTCATGTTGCTGATTTTTTTTGGGGTGGCGTCATGCTGAAATGGGGCCGCTTTCTTTCTTTCTTTCTGTTCTTCAGTGGGAGACTTCCTTCTAGCACGCTCATTCATCTGAAGCATCTGAATCTAGCTCTTTGGTTTCCAGAGCCATGGCAACGGAAGAGAAAAAACCCGATGCAGAATCCACCAAAACACAATCTACTCCTTCCTCCTCCACCAATCAAAGCAAGGTGAGTTTCAGGTTTCTGGACTCTAAGTACTTGGAATACTATTTAGACGTGCTTTTTGCTAGTGAGTGCCGTGTCCGTAACATTCAGAATCTCTGCTGAGCTCCTCTAGCTACCCTCAGTGCCCATTGGATTCCACTGACAGAGTTAACAGAGCTCTGCCTGGTATTCTAAATGATACATATGCAGTACAGTGTTACCAATGAGACTTGGAAGCCTCGTTCTTGTGCTGGGTCAGGCTGTATTTTCACTTAGTTTGGTAAAGCGTCCTCTTAAGAGACAGCCATCGGGGGGGTGGGCTCGGGCCAGGTACACACTCTCAGGTTAACCTACCTCACAGGGTGGTTGTGAGTATAAAATGGGGACTGAGGT